CCTCCTGGTGCTGTCCTGCCTGTTTCTGGATGACTAAGTGTGCTGGCTCAGCATTGTAGGACTTGAGTGCTTTGAGATAATGGAGCTATCCTCCCATTTGTTTCTTAGCTGCATGATGGTGGCATTAATTTAATAATGATAGACATCTTTTAGCTTGCTCTTTTCCTTACTGTCACTGGAACAAATAGTTTTCTATCTATGGCTTCACAAGAAGGTTTGGAGAGGGATAACTTGGCCTTTCCCCTACCCTAGCAGAAAAAAGTGCACTATGAGCACATGAACAGGGTGGTTTAGTAAGTCTGAGATGGGATTCCAGAGCCCTGACTGCCTCTTCCATTTTGTGTTCTTTTAATAAGCATAAGTGATTGAGCAGTGATCTTGAGATAGACCTCTCTAGCATTAGAGGCAGCTTTTTGACTTTCAGAGGTCAGATTTCCTGGGACTGTCAGGCAATGCTGGCTGCATTATAGGATACAATACCATATCTTGCCGGGAGGCACAATGCCCACTTCAGTGCTTCTTGGAGGAGAAGACAGACACAGACAGGAGAATAACTCCAAGCTATGGTCTGGATCACCAGAAGACATGGAGGAGAGACTACAGAGCTGAGAAGAAATGGAAAATACCTATTCATAAGTCCTGTAAAATGCTTCATATTTTGCTGTTTAAGTTTCAAACTTTTAGGAGAATATAATGATAGATATAAGTTACTGAATCCTTTTATAAAGTTTCTCCCAATTCTTTCTTAAGAAAATTTGTATTTAGCATTTCTTTTTTGTGAAACAAACAAACAGCTTTCCTGTACCTATTCTAGAATGCATAGTGAATACACTCTAGTACTTTCCTCCTCCCTCTTTGAGCAAAACCTAGATATAAGCCAAAATTAAACTTTAAGTAATTTTCCCCCTAATGCCCCAGGATAAGAATATAAAGAGTGAGAGAAAAAGACCTTGTCCTTTTTAGGTAATCATGCTCCCCTAGAACTCGATCTGGACCATGTCCACTTGGCTCCAGAGAGAGAGTCTCTTTAATGGAGAAAGGGACAATGCCTAGACCCTTGGACCCATATTGTAATAGTAATTGTTAAACATAAACAGATGTCAACTGTTACTATTCATAACTGGCAAGAAAATAGAGCCCCTGGTTGTAGACAATAAATTTATTTGTATGGTATTTACCCATGGAGACTGAAACGTTGATTCCAATCAGAGTTGACTTGGAGACTGCCTGAAACTTAATCCAAACCTTTCTGTATCGGCTCCTCATTCTGTATCACCGTTAGGATAATAAGACAGTATTATTTAGTTTTAATTGACTCAGTGACATGGGGCACTTATCTTTCTGGTTTCTTGCCCTCTCGCTGAAATCAACTGGTGATATGGATGGCTTAGCCTGGTTTATTTAATACCAAAGGTCGGTGGATCATGAAGCACCAAACAAAAAGGGAATAGTTGCTGGAAAATAATTTCTGGAACTGTTGTTACACAATTATATATATATATAAAAGTGGTGAGCCAGCCAGATGCTGGGAGAAGGTCTGGAAAGAGTTTGTCAGCTCTTTCTCTGGTGGCTAAGAACTGGAAATCAAAGGGAAGCCCATCAATTGGGGAATGGCTAAAGAAGCTGTGGTGTATGATTGTAATGGAATATTATTGTGCTATAAATAATGACAAGGAGGATGATTTCAGAAAAACCTGGAAAGACTTACATGAACTGATGCAAAATAAAATGAACAGAACCAGAACATTGTACACATTAACCACAATATTGTTTGATGAAAATTGTACATGGCTTAGCTATTCTCAGCAGTACAATGATCCAAGAAAATCCCAAAGTTCTAATGATGAAGCGTACTATGCCTTCAGAGAAAGAACTGATACTGACTGAATATGGACTGAAGCATGCTATTTTTCATGCTTTCATTCTTTTTCTTTCATTCAAGTCTTCTTGTACAAAGTGACTAATATGGAAGTGTTTTACATGGTTGCACATGTATAACCTATATCTGATTGCTTACCATCTCAGAGAGGGACAGTGGAAGGACAGAATTTGGAACTCAAAACCTTAAAAAAAATCCACTTGTTAAAAAGAGTTTGTGTAACATGCCTTGTGCCTTTATCAAGCTCATATTGTTATTTGGCAAACTCACAGTCACAGGGAATTTGAAATAAAGCCCACATATCAAGCCTTTAGAATGTAGGATTAGATCCTAGAATATAGAGGTAGATGGTTCCTTGATTAATAATTAGTCCAACTTCATTTTGCAGATGAATAACCAAGGCCCATAGAGATGAAATGACTTGTCTAAGTTCATATAGATAGTAACTAGAAGATCTGAGATTCAAACCTAAGTCCTCATACTCCAAACTCAGTGCTCTTTTCTACCCAATGTCCTACTTCAAACGAGTCCAAATGCCAGTTTACCAAAGTGGCCAACGTGTGACTTTGGATTTCATTTCTCTGTATAGTTAGGATAATGATATCTGCCCTATCTAACTTGCGTGGGGATAATATGAATTAATGAATGAGGGGATGCAAGAAAGAATGGCAATAAAGATGATATAAAATCAACTATTTATATAGCGCTTTAAGGTTGGTAAAGTGCTTCATAAAAGTGACTTTTTAAGAAGCATACATATGCATGTTATACCATTAAAACATAAACACAAAAGTAGGTGCTTATGCCTTCAAATCTGTCCCTTTTGTGAATTGACTAATTTTCCTAAAAGTAAAGAATGAAACAGACACATATTATGTTCCAGGTACTGTGCTATAGAAACATATATATATGTGCATAGAAATATTTGTAACATTTCCCTATGTTAGGGAAATATTCGTAGGAATATTTTTGTGATTAAAAAGAGGAAAAAGGGCAATGCCCAATAGAGGAGGCATGGCTAAAGTAATAGTGCTATTTGATTGTAATGGAATACTATTGCAGTAAAAAATGAATAAAGGGAATTCAGAGATTTAAAGAAGACTTGGTGTCTCCTATGAGCCCTGGCTCATAGTAGGCACCTAGAAAATGCTTTTCGAATGAACGAACTTATTCAGAGCAAAGAAAGCGGACATAAGGGATGAATATACAGAATGACCATAATAATACAAAGGAAAATAGCATTGAAAGACATCAGAATTCAGATGAAATGACCAATCTTGATCCCATAGGACTGATTGTGAAATGTATTTCCTTCTTGGACATGGTCTGTTTCACATAACTATTTTTCTTTCTAACATTTCTCTGACTTTTCTACCATGCCCTAGGAAATTCTGAGACTTCTTTGATGTTTCCACCATGCCCACACATCAGGTCCCTTCTTTGCTTTTCACCTTCCCCCTTTCCAGCTCCCTTTTGTGTGTTGTCATCCCCCATTAGATTGTAAGCTCCCTGAGGGCAGGAACTGACTTTTTCATATTTATATCCCTGGCACTTAGTAAATATTTATTAGCTGATTGACAAAGGAGGATTCTTGGCGGGAGTGGGTTATCAGGAAATAAAGTGATAAATCAATCCATCGGTATATTAATCACCTACTATATATATGCTAGGCGGTATGATAGGTTCTGAGGATACAGATAAAAATGAAACAGTCCCTCCTTTCAAGGATCTTATGTTCTTTTAGGGGAGATAACATGCATACATATATAGGAATATACAATTTCTAAAAAATAAATACAAAGTAATTTGGGAGGAGATGATATTAGTAGCTGGAAGATATCAGGAAAGGCCCCGTGTAGAATATGGCACTTGAGCCCAACTTTGAAGGAAACTGGAGATTTTAAGAGGCAGAACTGAAGGTGTAGTTCATTTTAGACATCAGACAGAGCCTGTGTAAAGATGCAGAGATGAGAGATGGGGTATCTTGAATGAATGTATAAAACATTTGTGAAATGCTTCCTTTGTGAAAAGCAAGCACTGGGGATACAAATCTGAAAGTAAGATGGTTATTCCTCTCAAGAAGCTCACGTTCTAACAGGGGAGAGACAATATATATGGAAGGTTTCACTTGCAAGTCAGTTGAAATCAGTCTTGTGTGAGACAGAGTAGGAAAACCAGTTTGGTTAGACCATAGAATATGTGAAAGAGAGTGATGTAGAATAAGGCTGGAAAAACTGATTGGAATCATATGGTGAGAAGACTTTAAATGACAACAGATTTTATCATAGAGGGAACAGGAAGCTGCTGGACTTTACTGAATAGAGAAGTCATATGACCAGACCTATGCTTTGGGAATGTCACTATGGCAGTGATGTGGAGAATGGAGATGCATCAGGAGGCTATTGTAGTAGGCTAGGGCAGGGGTAGGCAAACCTGTGGCCTCAAGGCCACATGTGGCCCTCTAGGTTCTCAAGAGTGGCCCTTTGACTGAATCCAAACTTCACAGAATAAATCCCCTTAGTAAAAGGATTTGTTCTGTAAAACTTGGACTCAGTCAAAAGGTCGCACCTAGGCTAAGGAAAAGGTGATGAGGATCTGAAATATAGTAACTGTTGGATGAGTGGAGAAGAAGGCATAGATGCAAGAGATGTTGAGAAGGAACGAAAAGATCTGGCAGCTGACTGGATATGTAAAGTGATGGAGAGTGGGATATTGAGGATGAGACCGATAATGAACTTGGGTGACTAAAAGAAGTATGGAAGAAAGGTGGGTGATACAGTGAGTTCTATTTTGGACATTTTGAATTAGAAATGCCTGCAGTAATACATTTTGAAATGCCCAACAGGCAGTTTGTGATGTGGGACTGGAACTCAGGAGAAAGAAAGACTAGCGCTGGATATATACATCTATGAGTCATCTGAATAGAGACGCTAATTAAGCCCCTAACAGTTGATGTGGTCACCAAGACAGAGAGAATAAAAAGACGTCCTGTGACAGTGCTTTAGGGGTATGCCCACATTGTATACCACAGTGATTTTTTTTGAAAAAAATCCAAAACTAAGACACACCTATAAGAAGATAATTTAAAAAAAATAAAGGGACTTAGAAGACAATACTATACCTGGAAAAGTATCCAGTGGCAAAAACGGGTCAGTGAGATAACCAGTGCAGACCATGACAGCATCAAATATGGCTGACTCTTGCTTCCCTTTATGTTCAGTGGTTACCTCCCACTGGCCAGACGTGGAGAAATCTGGACATTTTTTCACATTGCAGACAATGGTCTGAAAAAAAGAATCCAGAGTATGCAAATATAATTCCTCTCTACCCCCTTCAAGGAGTTATGATATATAATCAACAAAAATATAGACCCAGGAATTGTGAGTATAGGACTGTGTCATAAACTGTAACTCTATCTGGATTAGAGCCTCTGGCCATTCAGATAAAGGCCATACATAGACAGGATTCTACAGGTGGGTTATATGCCATGAAGACATATTTCCCTCCACAGGTTAATTGAAGAGCCCCAGGGGGTGAAGGAATCCTGCCAAGTAGCACTGATCTTTGCCAGTTTCTCAATCTCAAGCACAGAACTTGGGTCTCAAACACGAAGCACCAAAGGAAGATATGTATAAAGTAGTTTTGTGCCAATCAAACAACTCCTAGTGACGTACCTTGAATCGGATCCATTTCAGAAGGTTGAACTTGTTTGCATACATCTTGAGGTATTCCAAAAATTGGGACTGTGGCACAAAGTTTGGAAAATCCTCTGGGAAAGGAAAGTCTGAGAAACAGGACATCTCTTTGCTGCTGTTAGTAACAACAGATTTATAAAGGCTAGCTCTGCCCTCTTCAACATATTCCTGTAAAAACATCACAAAGGGGGAATTTTTTATTATTCCCCAGAAATTGAAACTCTCAATAAGTCAATGTTCAAAATGACATGGGGAGAAATACAAACTTTTCAGTGGAATTTGCTTTCCTGTAACTGTGAGAGAAAAAGAAAGCATGGGGGAAGGGCCTCAGAGTCAGGAAGGAAGGTATGGGTTCAAGTCCCACATGTGGCATATACTTGTCTTTCTGATCCTGGACAAGTAATTCTACTTCACAATGCCTTATAGGCAACTCTCTCTAAATCACAGAATTGATCTGCAGCAGAGGGAGCTTCTTCATTGGAATTTCCCCATATGAATGAAATCACAGATTAAGTTTAAAAAAAGAAAAGGGAAACCTGTATCAGAGGATAAAATATAGAACTCCTGGATAAGTCATTTGATCTCCCTCAACCTCGGTTTTCTTCTCTGTAAAATGGGAATGATAATAGCATCTACCTCCACAGGGTTGTTGTCAGAATCAAACAAGATTAAGACATATAAAGTGCTTTAGAGACCTTAGAGCACTACATAAATACTAGATACTATTATTCTGTCCTAGTACCAATAGAATTCTCCCAGTGGGTAGATCTCAAATGTTACAGAACAATTCTATAGACAGACAGAGAAAGGACCTTGGAGATTATCTGAGTGAAGGCTCTCATGTTATAGATTGGGAAACTGAGGGTCAGAGAGGTAAAGTGACCAAGGTCACCTTGCCAGGTAGTTGCCTTGGTCAGCATGCTTGATAGAGGAGTTAAGAAATATCACTTACTGTGAATTGCCATAGCCCTCCAATGTCACTGCTCCTTTCAAAGCAGGTGGGCTCCAGCCCCTCTTCCAAGCAGCTTTTGATGGAGGTGAGGCCACTCACACCAGCTCCAACAATTGCAACTCGCTTGACCATGGTCTCTTGTGTCAGGCAAGGATCAAGAAGAGTTTCTTCAGTTGTTCCTTCTGCTGGGACCTCTTGTCCTAGAATTGATCTTTACCATAAATAGAAATGCTCCACCCACCCCTGACTTTTCCAGCAAAGCAGGAAAAAGTCTTACGGAGGTTAAAAGTTTTAACCAATTGGGATCATCTACAACTGCTCTCTTTGTATGGGTGTGAGAAAACCATGCCATAGACACTGGTTTAGTCCTATTCTTTTCCATTTTATGCTTCTTATCTGGAACAGTGGCAATGTTAGGGCAATTCTGGAAGATAAGAGCTTTGGGGAAAAGTCCAAATTGTGCATGAAAGTTGGAGTAACCTTGAAACCTGGGATCATGCTCCTCCCCATTCCCAGTGCTACCCTCCTGGATTCATCAGTAGAGTACAGAATGGAGGGGACCTGGTAGAACATCTAGTGCAATACCTCACTTGCTAGGTGAGAACTGAAGCCCAAAGAGGCAAGTCCAAGGTCCCAAGAGTGGTTGTTTGCAGAACCAGAATGATAGCCCTTGTTTCTTCCAGAATCATTACACAGCCCTTTAAAACAAATCATATCATGCTTCCTCCTTCATGCTTCCCTTCTCACTTGAGTACTGCCACCCCTAAAGCCTCTGCCTGCTGTGACGTAGCCCATGCACCCCTGTGCAAATGCCATTCCTACTTCAAGAGCTCAGTGCTATCTCACTTATTGCTTCGGAGATGTGTGTTGTTTTCATCGGTGGGACAGTCAGGGAACTGATGAGACTTTATGGATAGAAATGCTGATCACATGGGCACATCCCAAGGGACCCAGGACTATTTTTGTTGGATGTTCCCAGGATAGTAAGTCACATAGGTGAGCCAGGGACCAGAATGGTACAGTCAAAAGAATGCTTAGATTCAAGTTCAGAAAAAACCAGTTCTGAAACTTGCTCTGCTAGTTGTCAGCTGTGGGACTTTGCTCCGATATGTCTGGATGGTTCCTAAGGTTCCTTCCATGTCTAAATTTATGACCCTGTGAGTCACCCAGCAGATATAACTAATAAATAAGGAAATGAGTGAAGTAGGGTATGTCAAAACAGTTCTTAATTGAGGATAAACAAGTAACAACCCCAACTCCTCAGACCAATAAAATAGAGGCAGATCTTATAGGATCAGCTTCATTTTGTAGCAGTATATCTAGGATTATTCAAACTACTTGGTTGGGGGGGGGAGAGCCAAATTCTCCTTTTAAGGTGAGAAGAAAATGGGATAGTGGAATAATAGAGGAAGGGAGAAAGGAAAAGAGAGTAGAGAAGAACCACAAAGGAGAAGGCACTATAGATTTTCTTCCTGCTTTAAAAAATAAATATCTTTCTTTTTGCTAATATGTGCTTATATGCCCTTATATGTTTTTATTAACTGTTATTTCAACATGAGAAAAATAACAATAGCCAACCTCTAAGTTGTGATTTTTGAAATTTTGCTATTTGAAGTGAAGTCTCATGGGATTGTATTTTTATGTTATTCTGAGTTTTAATTTCAGGTGTAATTGTCTGAATATCATTAAGCTAGTAATCCACCATTTAAAGAAAATATCATGCCCTTCTTAAAGGGAGTGTGGGCTGAAAATGACCTCATGTATACGTCTGTGCTTGGGAAAATTGAGAGGACAGCCTTGTGTGGGCAAAGATAGGATCCTCTTGACTCAATTTCCTCATTGTGCTATTTCCTTTCTGAACAGTAAATTTTCCCACCTAGCTAATTCTGAGCCTGGCTATGACAATCTGTGAATAATATACAATTTAGCTATATGATTGGCTGTTCCAAAATAAAAGTGAACTAGTGAACTATGACTCTTACCTGGAATCAAAAAGAACTGAGGAGCACACACACCACACAACACACACACACACACACACAACACACATTGTGGTCCAGAATTTGGGCAAACAAATCCCATTTGATGTCTGTATAATAAAAGCTAATATCTCTATCCTGGTTCCTCCTGTGATGAACCCCTTCATATATGCGTTTAACTGAAAGCCTGTCTTCTGTTCATATTAATGTCAGCTGACCAAAAATTGATTTCTGGAATAACTATGTTAACTGTTTGACATTCCTCATGTAGAAATCAAAGGGAAGTTTGAGCTTTCCAAAGTGATTTAACTATTCTCCTAGCTGAGTAAGTAAGGATGTTAATATGATTTTTTCTAAAGCATTCCTGTACCTGGTGATATATGCATGTACAGTAAAATGCACGCCTCCCACTATTTCTTCTTTTTGTCCAATGGACTGTTGATTAAGCTAATGAGAAAGGAATTTAAAATTTTCATATTAATCAATATGATATGTATAATGAAAGTACTAAGAATTTAGTTTTCTCAAGAGCTGCCTTTTCCAGCTAGTGAGTGTCTCACAATGCAGCTTGAGTTGATCAATCAAACCTTGGACAATCACTGACATCCTTCTGCTTGGGTACCTGAAGAGATGCAAATCGAAGAGCGTAGAACCTGTTCCCATCGCAGAACTCTAGTTCTGTACTTTAGGGGAGGTGGTCACAACCCCCAAAGACTTGACTCCAGAATTGTTATACTGTGGGATTACGAGGGTTTCTTGCAGGAAACCACTAAATGATTGTTTGTAAAATACCTTCCTTCCCCAGTTGTGATTTAAGTATATAACCTGTGCTTTTACTTCAGCTAAGAGAACATTCCTTACTCTGCAACTGATTCATTAAACTACTTGATTATTGGCACTCTCATCTCTAGGCCTGCTTTGTGAGGCTCTCAGATTCTCAGTTAGAGCCTGGCTCAGTAAAAACCCTGTTAACATTAACTGGTGTCAGAAATTTTAAAGGGTGGACATCGGGTGAAGCCTTGAGCTCTTCGGTACAAGGAGAAAAGGGACAGGAGCCCCTGGATTTTTTCCTAGAAGGCCCAGCTCACTTGACTGACAGGTTCAAGGCTCTGTACTCTCACTCCATTATGGGCTCCAGCCTCCAATAAAGCCTGGCTTTTCATAGTGAGGAATGCTCCATGGTCCCCTTTCTTGGTCCAGATCACTTTAGTAAGGCCGGTGTGTGTTTGTGTGTGTGTGTGTGTGTGTGTGTTTTGGCATACAATTTGGCTTTTGTGTGCATCTTTTCTTTTATAATGCAGGGCCTGCTATGGCCTGCGGTTTTTTTCTTCTCTCTTTCATAAATGCAGTCTGAGTTATGCACTGTGGGGGTTTCATTTCTGCATGTGGTAAAATTTTTTGTGTAAGAGTTGCTTGCGTGGTTGGTTTTATGTGCGATTGACCAGGTGAAATTAACTTTTTAATTGTGTGCTTGGTTAGAATTGTGGAATATTTACTTCTATAATTCAAGTGAATTGCTAGCACAGCATGGAATACTTGCAATTGTGTACCTGTATTTTGTGTATTTGTGTTGCTATATTCCGTTATAGTATATCCATGTGTTGTGTTAGTTAAGTGGTGTTATTATCTTTGAATGTACACCTTTAAAATGGGACAGATGTGTTGTAAGGGCATGGGGGGAAGATACAGTAGTCCCTATTAGCAAACCCCCAGAATGAACATGTGCCTTTCAAACGTATAAGAAATATGGCCTTGACTGTCCCTCCTATTTCCAGGATTGGGTTGATTTGACTAGTGGTGATCCTAAACTTTGTTGGCCTCATTGGGACAGCTTTGATAAGAGCAGATTAGAGTACCTAAGGCAGAAACTGATGAATAAGGAAACAGCCTCTGCAATGGGACAGTACTCAGAGACAAAGGAAAGAGATCATAGGTACCATCTGGCTCTCAACCAAGTTCCTTCCAGTTTGTGGTCTTCAGATGCTACTGATATTGGGTCAGTTATCAGTGCCTCACCTATTGTCATGGGGTTGGACACATCTAAACCTCACCATCCATATATCAATACTCACTCAACACTGAGGCCATTAAGGGAGTTTGGACCCTTATCACCGCCTATCTATCTAAGGACTTCATTATTCCTTGTACTTACCTTGTAAACATGCCCATTTTCCCAGTCTGTAAGCTTGGTGGACAGGGCTGGCGAGTGGTGCATAATCTTAGGGCAGTTAATGATGTTGTAATGCCTAGAACACCTGTCTTGCCGACCCCCACACTTTACTTAACCTAGTACCACCGTAAGTACTTATTTTGTGGTGGTTGACCTTTGTAATGCCTTCTTTTCAATCCCAACTGTCTCTGAAAGCCAGTTGATTTTTTCTTTTACCTTGGAGGGATGCCAATACATATGGACTGTCCTTCCACAGGGATTCACTGAGTCAACATCCTATTTCTCACAGATATCAAAGTAAGACCTGTCCTCATTAGATTTTAAGGACTCTGTCCTCCTGCAATATGTTGATGACCTTCTTCTTTGTTCTCTCTCCCAAGATATTTCTGTTTCGGGACTCTGTTTGCCTCCTTAATGGTTTAGCAGCAAGAGGGCATAAGGTATCTAGGGACAAACTCCAGTTGGCTCTCCCTTTGCAAGGTTCTTAGGACATCACGTCTTGGTGTCTGGCCTTTGCCTAAAGCCATCATTCAGTTTTCTGTACCCCACATCAACCGTTAGCCTTCCTTAGTCTGGCGGGCTATTGTCATCTCTAGATTCCTGACTTTTCAGGTATTGCCCACCCCCTTTATGACCTCCTAAGGAATTCTGTACCTGAGCCCTTGGCTCTTCCCCCAGAAGCTCAAAATGCCTTTGATTCTTTGAACTCTGCCCTCTAACAACCGCCATCTTTAGGCCTCCCCAACTATTCTCTCCCTTGATTTATTCTTATCTGAGAAAGGAGGGAATGTAGTTGATGGGGTGACACAAAAACATGAAGAAAACTTTCGTCCTGTGGGATATTATAGTAAAACTTCGGATAATGTTACTGAAGGCCTCCTAGGCTGTCTTTGGACAGTAGTGACCACAGTTGTTCTTGTCTCTGCCTCTGAGGACATTTGTCTTGACTCTCTCTTAACATGCTGTTGAAACACTCCTAAACACGTTGAAACACTCTTAAATTCACCCCCTACTCAGCGTTTGTCCTCTACCAGGTGAGCCAACCTTGCAATGACTCCATTATCCAAACCTAATCTGACCATCAAATGTGTAAATACACTTACTCCTGCCACCTCTCTACCTGAGGTGGAAAGGGAAGATGAGACTTTAGACCATGACTGTATAATTTACTTGGATGTCTTGCTTTCCCCCAGGAGAGGACCTGAAAGAAACTCTCTGAGAGGAATTGGACTTTGGTAGGTAAACTGATGGATCTTGCCTCAGAAATGAGGAAGGAGACTTGGTTGCTGGTTATGGCATTACCATCACCACAGAAGTGGTTGAAGCTTCATCACTACCTGATGCCCATTTGGCACAGCAAACTGAGCTTGAGGCAGTAGTCAGGGCTTGTGAATAAGGAAAAGCAAAAAAGATTAATATTTACACTCATAGCAGGTATGCATTTGGGGTGGCACATGACTTTGGAATGCTATGGAAACATCGGGGATTCCTCACCTCTTCAGGACCACCCATTAAGAAATTAGAAACAGGTTTCCCATCTATTAGACTCTTTACTGCTTCACCAAGGTGTAGCAGTAATTAAAATTTCAGGACAGTTGAGAAAACAGCATTCATTTTAGTGGAAATGACTTGGCTGACCAGGCATCAAAAACCACAGCTTTAACTCCTCAAACTGCTAAGGCACAAGTCCCCACAAGCACCAAAAGGCCTAGCTGCAGAATGCTTATCACAAAACAAGACAAGCTTCAAAAGGAGGGATGTAAGTTTGATGAGACTACTGGACCAAACGGACATATAGTACTCCCTAAGAACTTAGCCCTCTCCATGATGGAGCACCTTTGTTCATTCAGCCATTGAGGACCTGACAAGCTAGTGGAGCTGGCTGGAAAATATTGGTGGGGGAGTTTTCAGAGAGCCACTGTAACTGCCTGTGGGATGTGTGCCACTTGCCCCAAGCATAATGCATCCAAGCCTCTGGAGCCTGCTCATGGCCAGTTTCCTCTCCCAGATGTGCCCTTTGAAACCTGGCAGATCGATTTTATCCAATTGCCACCTTCCCTTGGTTACAAATATGCTTTGCTTATGGTCTGTATGTTTTCCTGGAGGGTGGAAGTGTTCCCCTGAGTACTGCCACAGCCTCTGGGACAGCAAAAATCCTCTCAGAAAAAAAATCATTCCATTATGGGGGGTGGGTTCCTAAAGAGATACATAGTGATAGAGGTACCCATTTTGCAGGAGCTTCATTAGTTAAGCTAGTTTCATCCTGGTCAATTACTCAGCATCTCCATTGTATCATCACCCCCATTCATCAGGAATGGTTAATGGGATAATTAAAACCTCCCTTGCTTAAACTCTCTGAGGAGCTAGGTATCCCTGGCCCAAAGCCCTTCCTTTAGCCCTGGTAAGCCTTAGGTATAGACCATTTGGTTCCCATAAGCTCAGTCCCTATGAAATAGTAACAGGATGCCCAAAGCCACTGTACCTGTGAGTGGGAAGCCTAGCAGCCAAAGGCTCCCTCCTACAATACTTCATTGGGTCTGCTCAGAAGATTTCAGGGACTTTCCAATTTGTCTCACAGTTCCATTCTTTAGAAACTCCAACTGAAACTCAGCTCCTGATCCCACTCAATGACTGAGTCTACTGGAAATGTCACCTCCAAAAATGCTCCTTGGAACCAAGATGTAAGGGCCCCTTTGAAGTTCTACTCACTACTCCCACTGCAGCCAAACTCAGAGAGTGGAGTCCTGGGTCCACCTCTTGCATCTCAAAAGGGCAGTACCGCCCACTTGGATTTCAGAACCCACAGGTGACCTGACCCTAAAGATTAAATGGGGTCAGGAGCAGCTGACCTCTGAGGTAGACAACTGTTCCCAAGACCCCCAGGATGAGAAGACAACAGCTGATGTAGACCACCAGCCTGAGAACCCCAGGCTGAGGTTTGCAGTTACTCCCTCTATGAACTAAGCCTTTTTCTGCTTGCTCAATCACTCAATACTCATGGAAGTTGCATTTTTTTTTTCTTTCACTTTTATGTTGTACTTCTCTCCTTAAGTTTTGATTTAAGTTGTGATTAATGAAAATTTAGCTATTTAAGGTAAAAATTCCTAGGACTTTAATTTGTTTTGAGCTTTGATTTCAGGGATAGTTGTCTGAATTGTCACAAAACCAATAATAGAAAATGGCTTGTGTGGCAGCCTGAGAACTACTAAGGTGAATGTCTGCCCCTGGGAAAGCTTGTCAGGACCATTTAGGACATAGCCTAGATAGGATCCTTCTGACTTTATTTCCCCATTGTGTTATTTCCTTTCTGGAAAAGTAAAATTCCCACCTGCTTAATCTGGTGCCCTGCTTTAACATTCTGTAACTATATGATTGGCTGTCAGATGTGACTCATGCCTGGAATAAACAGTTAAGGGAGTTTTTCCCTTTGTTATATAATAATTATGTCCCTCTTTTTTCCCCTTTTATAGCAAATTTCCATAACCAAGAAAAAATTTCAAAATAATGTTTAAAATGAATGTTCCTCATTGGCCTTCAAGGGTCATTCCAACCTCCAACCAAAAGGAGGGAATGAGAAAGGAATTTAAAATGTTCATATTAACCAATAGGATGTGTAATGAATATACTAATAATTCAGTTTTCTCAAGAGCTGCCTTTTCCAGCTAGTGAGTCAGACTCACAATGCAGCTTAAATTGATTGATCAAACCTTGAACAATCACTGGCATCCTTCTGCTTGGGTACCTGAAGTGAGGTGAATCAAAGATTGTAAAACCTGTTCCTGTCCCCGAACCCTAGTTCTGTACTTTAGGAGAGGTGGTCACAACCCCCAAAGGCTTGACTCCAGAATTGTTATACTGTGGAGCTTGCAAAGGTTTCTTGCAGGAAACCACTAAATGATTGTTTGTAAAATACCTTCCTTCCCCAGTTGTGATTTAAGTATATAACCTGTGCTTTTACTTCAGCTAAGAGAACATTCCTTACTCTGCAACTGATTCATTAAACTACTTGATTACTGGCACTCCCATCTCTAGGCCTGCTTTGTGAGGCTCTGAGCGTTCTCAGGTTAGAGACTGGCTCAGTAAAAATCCTGTTAACAAGGATAAACAAATAAAAACTCCAATTTCTCAGACCAATAGAATAGAGACAGATCTTATAGGATCAGCTTACTTTTGCAGCAGTATATCTAGGATTATTCAAACTACTTGGGAGGGGGGTGGAGCTTTTATTCTGGTTTATTTTTCAAATTTTCCTTTTAAGGTAAGAAGAAAATGGGATAGTGGAATAATAGAGGGAGGGAGAAAGTAAAAGAGAGAAGGGAAGAACTCCAGTGAAGAAGGTGCTAGAGGTTTCCTTCCTACTTTAAAAAATAAATATCTGTGAGATATTGCCTGCTAACATAGTTTTTGCTAAAGCACTTCTATACCTGGTGATGTATGCATGTACAGTAAAATGCATGTCTCCCACATTTCTTCTTTTTGTCCAATGCACTGTTGATTATGCAATTGCTTCTATTTCTTCTGCCATTGTTATTTATTCCAATGCTCTCTGTCACAATTCTGCCTTTTAGGCCCTGTATTTCCTTGTATGCTCACATTCCTCATCATAGATTTAGTTTTGGAAGGGTATTTAGAGGCAATTCATTCAAATTAATTCAATAAGCAATTATTAAATGCCTACTATGTGCTAAGTACTATAACAGATTCTAGGGACACAAGAAAAAAATGAAATTATCCTTGTCCTCAAGGAGCTTACATTTTGTTAGGGGAAAGGGAGATGGCGTGGATACAATAAACAAAGAAACAAATATGTAAAAAAGATATAAAAATAGATACATATGTTTTTGGGGAGGAGATTAACATATGAGAGAATCAGGGAAGGTTCTTTTAGGTGGTTATAGCCTTGAAGGAGTTATGGCTTTTTGAAGGAGTAAAGAGGGAGAGCACCTCATTTTATAGATAAGAAAATTTATATATTAAGGTTATTTCACTGCCTCTTTCCCTTACTCCCACCCTTTCCTGTTGCTTTCAAATAAGGTATAACCTCTCTGAGCTACATTCCATTCATGGGTCTCATATTACCCAGGGGCAGTGACATCTATGAGGTTCAGTTTGCCTGCTTGCATTAGGAGCTCTAACTCATGCTTGTCATCTGTCCTTTGTGCTCCTGTGTCTAGACCATTTATAAGTACTTACCATGGTCCAGGCCTGATGGTAAGTGCTGGGATACAAAGAAAGGCTAAAACAGTCCTGCCGTCAAGGGGCTGACAGTCTAGTGGTGGGGGAGGGGAACAACATGCAAACAACTATGTACAGACTATATACATATATCTGTATGTATATGTATACGCTATGTATAGACTACACACACACACACACACACACACACACACACACACATACACACAGGATAAGTTCGAGATAAGCTCAAAGGAAAGGTGCTAACATTAGGACTATGTTTATTTTGCAAAAGGAATCTGATAAAGTGCTTTCTTTCTTAATTTTTGAGGGTAATTTATGTGGTATTGGAGCTAGTTCTTTAAAAGTTTGATAGAATTCTCCTGTGAATCCATTAGAACCAGAAGTACCACTCTCCTCCAATAAATAATTGTTTGGCAACTCGTTCTCTTTCTTTTCTGAGACTGAATTATTGGCATTAGCATTAAGAGGGGGCTGAGAAATGCTTCTTGTAGAAGGTGGGCTTTTAGCTGAGACTTGAAGGAAGTCAGGGAAGCCAAGAGGCAGAGATGAGGGGGGAGAACATTATTGGCATGGGAGACAGACAGGAAAAATACACAGACTTGGGAGATGGAGCCTCCTGTGCAAGGAAGAAAAGAAGCCAGGGCTGTTGGATGAAAGAGTAAAGTGGAAGGAGACTAGAAAGGTGAGGAAGGGACCAAGTTATGAAGGGCTCTAAAAGCCAAACAGAGGATTTTGTATTTGATCCTGGCATTAAGGGGGAGCCATTGGAGTTCACTGAATGAAGTGGGATAACATAGCAAGATCACTGAGGCAGGTGAGTGAAGGATAGAGTGCAGTGGGGAGAGACGTGAAGAACTGAGACCAACCAGTGAACTATTATAATAGGTAGGATTAAGAGGATGTGGCAACAGATTGGAAATGTGGGGGGTGGTGGAGAGAGAGAAAGAGAAGTCGAGGAAGACACTCAGGTTTCCAGTTTATCAGACTTGGAGGATGGTGGTGCCCTTTACAATACTAGAAAAACTTGTAAGAAGAGAGGATTTAGGAGGGAAATATCTAGGGGAGAAATATCCGAGGCCATGTTTTTTTTAAAAATCAGATTCCACTCTTACGTGTTCTGTCCTTCTGTTTTCTGTGTGTCTTTACTGCCAATCTTCATCCTGCATTGAAGCTACTTTCTAGCATTTAGTTTATTTCATAAACAGACAATTTCCTCTGTCTCTCTCTCATCCTTTTCAATTTAATTTTGATTAGATTTACAAGATTTCCAGCATTCCTAGCAGCCTTGTGTTAGATTCATTCCATTCCTGAAAAAGAGCTAATCATTCCTAGATTTAAAAGCTGTGATCCCAAAATCCAAATTCCATTCTCAGATGCAATCTTCTCAACCATCTATTTCCTTTCCAAATGTTCTTCTCTCTCCTGAATCTTTTGCCTTTGGTGTGTAGCAGTGATGTAAACCATACACACCTCTGCAAAGTTTTTGCCTAAGATTTGACAATGCTTTTTTTGTTTCCTTCTGCTAGTACCATTATTCCCAAGGGAATTTATGGAAGTGGGTACTAGACAAATCTTGAGAAGTTCCCTTAGCCTACTTTAGATACATGTCCTAGGAAGACAGAAGACATCTCTATTTTCATTAGATCAACAGATAGTTTGTTGGTCCAGGTGCCCAGCAGTTGTACACCATCATTTCTTCTACCTTTGATACTTTGAAGATGCTCTTTCACCTGACAGCTCCTATGGACCCATACCATCATTATTTGGAAGACATCATCCCTCAAAATGTCCAGCTCTTTCCTCTTTTCCTCTCCCCAATACCTATTTGTTGGCTTCAGGGATCCTTCTGCTTTCCTTTGTCATTTGTACGACATTCTTTCACTCTCCAAAGTCTTAACACAGGTCAAATTTTCCCTTTACTTGTTCAAATGCTTCTTTTTGTTTTCACATTAGAATTCTTCATTCTTTTTAAGAGGAAAACTCCATCTTCCTTGATAACCTGGAGACTAGAAAGATGCCTTTAAGACCCTTTAGCTTCTCTTCTAGTAATGAGACCAGTTGGATCTCAGGGTACAGGAAGCCGTCATTTAACCAGTGCAACAAAATCCCTGCAGATTTTCCTTACTCTCTGTACTTCATTGGAGAGAGATCATTGGTTTTGCATCTTGGTTATCAGCACTCTCACAGAGTGCCTGGGCCAAGCTACTTGTGGGGGTCTTCAACTTTAAAACTGTTGCTCTCTTTATCTTACTGGCACCTTGACAATTATATGCAATCTATCTTTTCTCCCCTCAATCTCTTATCTTACCAAATTATTTTTCTTACCTTGTCTTACTTATTATCTTCTTCTCCTTAAGACATTCCTTCTATTCCCCCCCACCTCTCTTCTTTTTCCTAGTCCTTTTCCTCTTCCATCTAAAGTTCTTCTGCCCCTACCTCTTCCCTTCATATCCTTCTGCTCAGTTCCTTCTTCTTAGTTTCTCTGCCTTCAACCTAT